ATTTTCCTCTCGTATTTCAAATACTTCGTAATAACTATAGTCTCTTTTATATAATTATAAATATATGGCTATAAGTAGGTGCTGACTACATACACACACACATACGCACACAAACACACACATATACACACCCCATCACACACACACACACACACACACACACACGCTCCATCACACACGCACACATGTAGGGCACGCGCATTCTTCTAACCCACAAACTTTTAAGATCGCGATAGCTCCGAGAAATTATCCAGTTAATTTTCAAAGAGAAGACGCCCGTAAATCGGAAAAATAAATAGCTCGGGGCCCAGAACCATACCTAGCAGTACTAGCCCCCTTCTAAATGCATGGAGATCTAAAAGACTGCTAAGCAATGGTAAATAGAAGATTTAGGCAAAGTTTCGAAAAAGCGAGATATGGACATAAAGGCAGCAATAAGGATTTTTACAAGTTGAAACAAATCTCGAGCACCAGATAACTAATATCATCTTTTTTTTATTTTAAAAAAAAATTAAACAACATACTCTAACTTGATCGAAATAGACCATGCCAAGCTCTTTGTCGATGTGAGCACGAATTATGCCTGCTTCAGTCATTTCACGGAGATATCCCTCGGCCTGTTCGCTGTCATCGAAAAAGCATCGTCGTGCAATATCCGAAAGCGATAGCGACACAAAGCACTGCAAAAAAAGATAACTTTTTTTTTAAAGAAAACAGAAATTTTGCTGGAGACCTGCCGTAGAAAAATATTAAAATTTAAGATGAAACTTCCCCCCCCCCCTCCCGTAATTAACTGTATGTATGCGACTTGATGGACCGAAACATTCCCATTCAGATTTTAATCTTAACTTATTCACATTTCCTTTTTTAGTTCCTCACATCTTACATAAACAAATACCAAATAAAATTAAAATTAAAAAAAAAGTACAGCGCGGAGATGTTCAGAAACAGCTCAAGCATAAATATGCGTCAAAAACATCAACTGACTGGCAAGGCTGTCGATTAGGACCCTTTCATCCAGTGGCCCTACTTGGACGGTCCAGTTTCGGTTCGGCTTTTTATGGCCTCTATTTAAATTTGCTTATAAACTGATGGTGGTTTTGACTCTTTGCCATATGGAAATATGAATTTGTTACCTAAACTAATCAAAAAGTCATAGAAAGATTAGTTTTTCCACGTGGGATTTACTATGTAACGGTTATTCCTGGGACAGAGTTTAAATCTCCGGGCCAGATCTATGGGCCAATTCAAGCTCCATACGATTATCTCATCGGGCTAGTGGGCCAAATACGTAAAAATCCACCCCCCCCCCCTTCCAAACGTGCAAAAAAAGTCGGTTCCATCACTGGTGTAATCATTTCCCAAATCTGTTTCCGTCTTTACAAAACCAAGCCACTGCTTGTTTAGCACGACAAGGAGCACCCTCTGATATCATTTTCATCTTCGAAAATTAGAAAAATTCATGAAAATGAATTCGAATCATCCATTCTCATGTAAAGCTAATTTTGATAAGAAAAAAACCTTACTTCTGTAAGTTTCTTCACAGAATTTTCACGAATTTTTCGTACAAGCTGTTTAGCTAGGCCAATATTCGCATCCTGAAAAACAAAATAATTGGCCAACGCACGGGCTGCCCATGAGAAGATGCGTTTTTTGCATAATTCTCC